AGGAGGAGGAGGCGGAGGAGGAGGCGGAGGTCGGCGGCGGCGGGATCAGCGCCGGGGCGGAACGCGGCGGAGCGGCGCGGAGCGGAGCGCGGCGGGGCCTCCCCGCTGACAGCGGCCGCCTTGGCAGGGGGCTGCGTCCGGGGCGCCTCCAGGTGCAGCCGCCGTGCCTCCAGCCTGCCGTGCGTGCATTTTTCTGCTAAAGCCTGTTTTTATTTGTTTATTTTAAGGCGAGATGTCTGGAATTAACTCTTTCCTTTTTTCCTTTCCTGAGCAGTGTTTTGCTGCCCTTTCCACCAGAAGCGCCTCCGAAGCGGTGGCGCTGCGTCTGCCCTCCTCGCCCTCGAGATCCCCCGCGCTCGTGGCCAAGGTTGCTCCGAAGGAAGGCGGCGTGGGGCTTCCCTGGATGCCGCTGAGGGAATGCGGTGGAGATGATAGCGGAGCCCAGCCCGGCCGGCGCGCTCCCCGCTCACAAGTAAGGCAGGCCCCGGCACGGGTGCTCGGGAGAGGTGTTGGTAAATTGGGGCGCTCTCCCTTCACAGTTTGTGTGCTGCAACGCTGTGTTCTGCAATGTGCCATACTGGGTGGGAAGGAGGGGGCAAAGGGATGCTGCTGTGTTCTATATGTTGATGCTAAGGTCTGTTTGTTATTGCCCGTTGAGTGTAGTTTATTGTCTTCTCAATGTACTGTTTTATGCTGATTCACAAGCTCATCTTGCAAGCTCTTCAGTGCCTTAGTAGAGTACGAGGGACCTACTTTGAAAGTAGGTGAATGTAGGTACTGAGAGAGCAAAGTGCCAACTGATGCCTAGTCTCCCTGTTGGCACTGACAGGGGCAATCCATGCTGCTTGTCACACCACAGCAGGGAGAACTGATTCCCATCTCCTCTCATTTTAAACTGCCATGGTCAGGAATATAGCGTATGCTTTCAGTCATTAGTTGATGTGATTTATAAACTAGATGGATTTGTATCATTGTTAACGGAATGTATTTGGAAGTAGAAATAACAAGTATAAATAAGGTAAATGGTAATGTTAATACATTTAGACACTTGTCTAGAATCAAGTGCCAGGAAGGTACGTGGGAATWGTTTAGCTGAGCTTTTATGTTGCTACTAAAAAGTGAAGCAGTTGCATGGCAGTTTCTAATTCAAGACCCTGTAAGTGGGAGTCTTTCAGCAGCATAGGTTAATTGTCCCTTTTACACAACTGAAGGGATGCATTATTCTCTTTAAGTTACAGAAGTAGCTTTCTTTTCAAATGTGAGGTGCTAAATGTGCTCCAAATGTTTACGAAGATGAGAAAATTGAACGCAGAAATGTTGAAAAGAGTATTGTTTTGGGACTGGAGGAGGATTTTGCTTCCTTTCGGCTTCACGTGTTTTATAGATATCCTTCGAATGCTTTTGAAAGGGCTGTATTGTGACAGAAGTGCAAAGTARAACGCCCGTGAGCCACAGGTAGCATAGTCTGAAGGTCAGAATTATTATGAGATGGGACAGGAATTCTCCTTCTACATCTTTATTGCTTCCTGGTAGAAAGAAGGTAAATGCCTGGGAATTAATTCTTAACAGTGCACCAGACAGTGGATTTAGATTTGCCAACATGCTTCATATGGTATARGCTAAGAGGAGGGGGAAAAAAATGGATACTTGAAAATGTGCCACAGCCCCTGCTGCACTGATATTCTTGGAAGGATGTTACATGGAATTATGCTTAAGGACCAGTGCAGAAGTAACCATGTGCCATCCCTACCTCTGGTAGTTCCTGTTTTGCTCCAGAAGGTGAGAGATGAAGAGATGTGAATTCTGTTTACAATTACTTCAACAGAATCTCAGCTGTGCAGATAAAAAGCCCATGAAAATATCTAATTGAATTTCAAGTGGCTCCATGGGGGCCAATTTCTAATCTCTGGTCTGGTTCCCACAAGTGGTTAAGCATCTGCTTTATGAACAGCCTTACTGAGTAGTCACATATTTAATTTTTTTATTTTAAGCTTGAATATTTATAGTATCTAGATTTAAAAAACACCACTATAAATAAAGTATTTCCACATTCAATGTGTGTGTTTGTTTTATAGTCCTCTCTAAAGAAATTAAATAAGAACAAACAAGTTTTAATGGCTTTTTAAGAAATGCAAAAGAAGCCTGAAAATTTGGGAAGTAAAAAATATCTAAAATGTAGACAACTTTATTATGAAGTTCAGAAGAATTAAGTTCATAACTTTATTGTTCATAACTATTTTTTTTTCGAAGTGTTGTCAAGCCAACATGGCTCTTTGATAGATACTATCTTTTTTCTCTGATGCAATTTTATCTGTTACTGGGTCATGATGAGGGATCTTTTAAAATATTTTTAAATAGGTAGAGGCCTCGATCTTCCCAACTGTGTTGTCTTTGGTGTGGTGTTTGGTGCAGATTGACTGCTGGAGCATGGTGCTTCCTGTGGCTGTTGCTATGTGTAGTGGTGTCTTGATAGCCAAGTGACTAAATGGATTTTTATTATTTGCTTAGTGTCTAGTTACTTTTGCATTGCGTTTGACAGAGATGCTTAGTACCTGTGTGAAAGCTAACCCAATGATTTGCATAAGGCGTGTAATTTATTTGGCATTGTTGGATCAACATGGGGAGGTCATAGGTCGCTAGACTCTTTCTCATWGTTGTGGGTTCGTATAGGCTACATACGCTTGCTGTTCTGTACAACCTGCATTCACTAACTTGCTGGGCCCCTTTCGCTGCAGCACATTTCAGCTGGCATGAGTTGACAAAATAAGTAATGTGACATCTGAAGTGCCATTAATTCAAAGTGCTTTTCTAACATGCAACTTGCTTGCATATCAGCTCTAGCACCTCCAGGATTTTCTTGGGAAAGAGCTGCTTGAGGTAAAGCTTCAAGCAGCTATATTCTAGACAAGGAAACATTACATGTTTAGGCAAGTGCTTGACTGAACTGTCTTACAGTAATTTTGATTTTTTTTCATCATTTAAATATTTTAATCCAATTTGGATCCAGCGGTTGCTGCAATGGAACGCATGTGTTTTGATTACGGGGTGTAGCAAGTTGCCATGTAGCACCTAGAAACAATTGAAGAAGGAACTGTGAGAGTCTATTGGGCATTAAAGTATAATGCAAAACCAGGAGACATAGTGAAATACTGCTTGGCACCTGAGCGATTGTTTTAGTAAAACAACACAGGTAAGAAGACGTTACGCCCATGATGTTGCAGTCCTCTGAAGTCTAGAGTGAAAGGATTTGCTTGCAGAGGAGAAGCAGYTCCTTGGCAAATGCTTTAGGATTCTGTTTGTGATCTGTGGAAGAGTCTAGGAAAAGACTGCATCAGGAAAGCAGTATGTATGGGTCTTGTTTTGTTACCCATTCTTTTGAAATAGAAAGTGCTTTACTTACTTAATCTCAGTGATTCGCAATTTGAAATCAATATTTTGTAAACTTAAGTCAACAGTTGCAGCATTCTGACTTRGCTGTAAACTACAGTTCACCTCCTCTTTTACATCATGTGTAGAAGTCCAAACACCACATGCAAAGATTAGTTTATTCTAATGAAACAAACTAATTCTAATGAACTAATAGCTGCTTTCGTAGCTTCAGACACTATGGTATCCTTTGAACTCTTCTTTGAAGAGGTTTGCTAAATTTAATGCTACTTTTTAAGGACATTAAGCAAGAAATGTGACTTATTTTTGTAGAAACTGTATAGTAGCATATGCCTCTCTGGGAATCTAATTCCATGTCATTTGCGTATGGTGAGTGTCCCAGTAGATTCAAGATATAAACGGGAAATGTTTGTATGGAAAAACATCTATGTGCTCTCACCAATGAAATAATATCAAGACCTTGGTCCTGCAGATTTTGTTGTGCAGGCTCAGAATTTGCTTTGCAGAGGCAGTGTCTGACGGAAGTGCTTGGGAAGAACAGAATTTATCTGGCAGTCATTAAACTTAGCTGGACTCATCCTGGATCTGCACTCAGCGCAGTTAATTTTCATGTGAATATGCGATTTTGTAGAGTTGACTGTATCTGAAAGTGGGATGCTTTACTTTGTTCTTCATAAAGTGATCACTTGATTTAGAACACTCTACAAAGTACACTTTTCAGAGCTCCTGCTATGAAAAACTAACCACAGACTCTTTACCTTGTTTTTGTGCCTTCTTAYAGCAGAAGCCAACTGGTTTCGTGGCCTGGCCACTACAGTTTAAAAGAAGGCCATAACGGCCAGCTGTCCGTACTGGACCTACTGCTCAAGTGGGACCCAGCTCATCTACTCAGAGATGACTTTTGGCAAAGCATATTGATGGCACTGGGAAATACTGAAAAATAGCATGATTTCTTTGCAAATAAGTAATGTAGTTTCAACTCTCCTAAAGGAACATCTTTGTAAAAAAWTTCTCTATTATATTAGAGACAATTTTGCAAATGAAATATCTTATGTATCTTTTTTTCCACAGTATGATTTATAGGGAAAATAAAGCCGTTTCTTCCTTACCTTTTGAGTCRTAGACCCATCAAATGTTGTCCTCACATTTTGTGTAGAAGATCCACAAAGTTGATTTAGAACTCTATTATCTATAGAGGATATAAAACTGTTATAGGCTGCCTTAAGTAGATGTCAGCTGTTTCATTTACTTACCTGCTACTTGATTGATGTCTCTAGTAGAATTTCAGTAGTTTTCTAATTATCTGTGAAATCTTTCAGGAAAAAAAAACAGTTTGAGTAAGGCTCCAGATTTTGATTGTGCTTTAGTAGTTAGCTGTTTAGTTTCTTGGCACCAAAAAAAAAGAAACCTTCCCAAACCAATGTATATAAGAATGTTACAATTCATATGTATTTTTTTTTGTGTATATTTCTTTATTGTTATCCCATTCAACATCTATCCAGCTATCCCACTCAACATCTGTTTGTTACGCTTCAGAGAGAATGCTGTGCATGATGAGACTGTGCCCGAGTCTGCTGTGCAGAATGGCAGCTGTTTGAGAAACGGCAACCTGAAAACACCAGTGAGTTACCTTTTCAAAATGGAATTTATTTTCTGTCTCATTCAGTTGTTATGAAATTGAGCCTTGCATAAAACAATGACAACAGGGCCCTAATTGCTGGCTACCGTTAAACTGCCAAATTGTGTTGGGATCAGAACCTCAGTGAGGGATTTTGAACCATTGGTTCATTTCACTGTATGCTCTTCCTTAGTTGCCTGTTTTGTGCAGCTGCTGCTAGTTGGCAGGCTGTGTGCTTGGCCTGTGAGTTAACAGATGTTCAAGAGCTGGGCTTGCTCTCCACCCTTCAGAAGTTACAACTGCTGTTGAAAAGTGCCTTCCAGGTARTACAGTGCTCAGCAGCTTCTTTCCAGCAATAAATTCCTACCTTTACATATCCGTGCAAAGAAAATTTCAAAGTGGTAAATTCCTTCCTTGATATCTACCCTCTGGTACAATCATGTTTGATATGGCTTTGCCGCTGAAATGAAACTAGCATAAATGTGCTATAAAGAGGTAATTTGTATACCRGTGAGTATTTACATGTTTCATGTTCTCTCACATGCTTTCTTTACTTGCCTTATCTCAGAGAGAGAAACGGAAGGTCCGCGAGCAGTGTGAAAACATAAGGAGAAATTCTTCCAGTAGCAGAAGAGTGAGCCGTTTGCAGAATGGAGAAGTGGTTGAAGCAGTTACGTTGTTTGAAGTGGTTAGCATGGGGAAACAGGCCATGCAGGTATTTCCAGCTGTGCATTTGGGGAGGAGTTAATGGGAGGGAAGATTGATTTAAAAGTGGTGATTTAAATTATTTGTTCGCTGGAGCACTTTTTTAATGGGAAAAAAAATGATTGGAAAGAGGTTATGACTGTGATTCTTCGAAAGTTATCTTTGAATAACTTTGGAAGATAAAGATCCTTCAAAATTTATCCTTGAGAAATTAGCAGAAAAGTATCCATGAGGTTTTTAAGAAGAGAAAAGTATGTACCTAAATCAGTCTTCCTAAAGCAATGTCTAAACATACTTATTTTAAAAATGTTCATCAGCAGAAAATTTTAATTGCTTAGGGTTCTGAAAATAAGGCCATTTATTTAAGAGCCTGCCTTTATACATCCTTTTGGCAGTTTTCCTTTATCCCTATTCCAATGCAATCTGTTATGCTATGGATGTATTAGCTTCAGCAAGGGTCCCAGAAGGGCCCTGCTTCTGCTGTGTGAGGCATGCTATGAAGCACTCAGAAGGTCAGGAGCTGAGAGCAGCCTCCTTCTGCTGAAATTCCACAGACCCACATGGCAGCAAAAGTGAGCTGAAGGCTGGGTGGTTTGTCCCAGCAGGCTCCGTGCCACGTTCAGCCTGGACTGCCCTAGAAAATGAAATGTGGAGATTTTTAACTGCACCCTTAGAAATGGAACAAAATGATGTGGAATTTTCTCTGATTTTTATAATTGAATGAAGCCAGAATAATGTTAGTTCTAGTATATCTGTATTAGGGATCAGCTTCTGACTACTGARTTTCTTTAATGTTTTCTAGTCCGTAGTAGACGACTGGGTGGARGCTTATAAACAAGATCGGAATGTGGCACTTCTAGATTTGATCAACTTCTTCATCCAGTGCTCAGGCTGTCAAGGTAATTCACCTGCTTACTAGTCCTTTGCTTTGCCTGTGGAGCAGGTGAGAGTCATCTGAATTACACTTTCTAAAACTGTTTTTTTCCTCAGTAAATTCTGTACTTAGAATCTGGACTGCTTGCTTAAGACAAACTCCAAATGGGTCAGSACTAATAGCAGAGAATGTTATCAACTAAATTCTTCAAGGTGGTTTACAAGGTCAGGTTTCTGAAGTGGCAGCTCACATCCCTTTGCAGAATCCCCACTTAGGAAATTCTAGTTAAAGTAGAAGTTCTTATTAAAATCCGATATTTCAGTTGTCATTTATTTTGTAATTTTCTAGTATCATTTGTTTTTTTCAAATGTTTGTTTGAAAATGAGTAACTATCAGGTTAAGCCCTGTGTTTTGGTGTCTAGAAGAATAATTGAAGGTTTGTGAAGTTGTCTGAACATTTCTTGAGGCACGGTGACTTCTGGGGATCATTTGTTAGCTAAAAGCTTCAGGATGGGAAATGAGTATTTAAGAAGACTGTTCTATTTAGCTGCAGCTTCTGAGTGTATTTTAGCAGCTAGAATGTTCCTCTTTTACATGTCATCCAGCATTTTGGTTAATATGTCTTATCATACGAAGTGTCTTGGTGTCTCGGACTTAAAAGTGGGTTGAATTTTAGTAAATACTTGAAGTAAATTGAATGGTCAAAGAAAATACTGCTAGACAGCATGGGACAAGTTTCTCTAATGAGAATTTCAGTTTTGGGTCATCAATATTTTCTATAAATATATCAATATTTTCATCAATATTTTCTATAAATCTATTTAAGTCACTCTGTTTCACTGCAAACACAGATAAAACAGCCTAAGTCCCCCTTTCTGAATTTACCACAATTTGGACTTAATGTAATATGATTGCCAATAATTCTTCTATTTACAATGTTGCTTTTCTAGGCATGGTAACAGCGGAGATGTTTCAAAGTTTGCACAAGAAGGATGTCATGCAAAAAATGACAGAGACTTTTGATGAGGTAGGCACAGTTTTGACATAAAGGAGATGCTCTACTTTATAGCCACCTTGGCAGAGTTTTTGCTSTTTGTTGAAAGCTGTGTCCCACTTCCTTTAAAAAAATAATTCTGTTTTCCACAAGAGAAATTTCAGATTGTAAAGACCTGTTAGCAGCAACATAAAAAATTTTCTAAGCTACTCTTGTTTACAGAGTTTTTTTAGGGCTGTTTAACTGCAGTCTTTCATATAGGATACATATGTAGTTGCATAGAATATGCTTGCAAACATACAGTAGCTTTCTTTGGAGTGAGTTTTTTGTTCATGTCTAAAATGTTGAACTCAATCTAAACACTGAATTTGATTCTTCACTGGTTGTGGAGGTAGAATGCTTGCTAACCTCAATGTTCGTGAARTGTATAGGTTTAACCTTTTAAATAGTAGAAAGAGGATGAGAGTAGTTTGTTATTTTAAAATAAATTGTTTCTTCTTTGTGTTTCAATTTCTTTTCGCAAACGGTTCTCATGTCATGTTTTTARTAGATATGATGGAAGCATGACAGTGAAAACTGCTTGGGAAGTATTACTGTACAGGACTATTATGACTACTACAATATTTTTTGAAAACGAATTATAATAATACTAAAAGTACTATTAAATGAAGGTGGAGACCATTACCAGATACATACTTGCTTTGTTTGCTGATCTTCCCTTTTCATTTACATTGTCTGTTTCTAGCATTCAGAGAATTGGAAAAATCAAGGTTCAGTCTTGATCCTGTGATTTAACTGCTGCTGTTTAACTAGTAATTGCAACACTGTGTGTGTTTACCCCATGCATACTCTCTAAATTCTCTTTGATGTTAGTGAGAAAATATATGTTGACATCAGAAGCAGAAAATTGTCTTTATATTGTCATTTATTTATTTCCTTTGTGAGCCTCATACATCTGAGTGGAGAAGTAGCCTTACCTTTAGACCACTGATTTTTGTCTTCTGCCTTTCTTCTTCTGTTTCTCTCCTCTGCTTTGCTTCCTGTGTATGGTGTTTTATTTCTTTCAGTATTCTGTATTATTTCATAGGTTTCCTTTCATCTCTTGTTGTTTTGATGAAATGTGTAGCAATGAAGRGAGAAATTTAAGGTGCAACCATGCAGATGAGGATAGAAATACTTGTARTACTTTACTAAGACTAATGAAATATTATAGATTTCATGTTTTAGTTTTGGAGTGATTTCAGATTTGAGGAAATTTCTCTGTATCAATTCATGCCTGTTCTGAAAGCATTCCTCTCTATTTGAAAAGCTCAAACGGTTTTCTGGTGTTCGACTGCTTGACAGTACATAGTTAGCAAGTGTTGGAGAGAAATATAGGCTTAGACTTCTTGGGGCGAGGTATCTCTTAGYGTTAATTGAGGACCATACATTGCATATGTTTGTCCTTAAATTTTAAACACAGGTTGTCTCTTAGTTGTATCAAGAGAACTTAGGTTTTATGTAAAAGTACAATTTTTCATCTACTCATGCACTTACAGGTTATAAATATAAACTAGATGAGAAAGGATTAGGTTTTGTTTAATGTGATGAAATGCATGAAGCATGTGTAATATAAATTGTCATAAGTTTTTTAAATACAATGCATAATATCTGCTATTTTTATCTTTGAGTTGAATAGGCAGTTTAATCAAAAAGCTTTTACAACTTTCTCTCATTTGTTACAGGAAACCGGGTTGCAATACAAGAAATTCATGGCCTATCCTTGGATTCTGACAGTTACTTGGCCAGTGGACATGGTAAAAACCTCTCCTGTAGATCTCTGTGACTGTAGTGTAGAGCTTTCTACAACTGCAGTTGTCTTCCATGTCGGTGTATGTGTCAGAACTAGGGACTTTAAACTCCTTGTTTGTCAGTGCAGATAACGAGTCACTTTTGAGGTCTGTTTTACCCAGTCTGCTTTAGGCTTCTGGTTTGGAATAAACTTGCTCGTGCTTTGGGAGTGCCCATTTCTGGTTATTGATTTTTAAGGGAGGTGCCACTGAACCGGATGAGGTAAATTGCTCTTATGGTGTTTTAAGTAGTAGATGGGATGGTGTGTGGCAGGTTGCAGTGGTGTTCGAGAGGCTTTCACTGCCCTTCCAGCAAGCTCCCCATGCACACGTGTGCACGCAAAGGTATGTGCACTCCTGCTCAGCTTTTGGTAGACAATTTTGTTCAAAAGCTTTTTGCATCAAAATATTCTTTTGCAAACAATTTTTGGATTGGAAGTGTATTTTAAGAAGAAATATGTTTTTTTCTGCAATGCCTCTTTTCATATATCAGCTGCAGCACTGTAGAGTATTTGTCTCAAATCCTTGTTGGCATTTCAGTCTCCCTAGCCTCCAGAAGAAATGAATATTTTTAGCATGATTTGAAGCAGGAGCCTCCCTGGGGTGAAATAGAATAGTTCTCTGGAARAACCCCTGTTAAGCTCCCAATATGATACCGTTTCTGGAAGCAGAGCAGCTCTTGGCTACTGACTGTTGAGGGATTATGCGGCATTCTCAGGTCAGGTACGGAAGCTTAGGCTGTACGCCCTCTTGTGCTGTGGGCCYATTTAGAATATACTGACACTATTATATGATATCCCAATATGATATGCATGGACAAGAGGAATGCCTTTYGAAAGTAGGGTATCTTCCTACATTTATGCTGCTTTGCAAATTGAGGAGTAAGCTACTGAGAAAAAGTAGGTATTTCTTGATGTTGCAAAGGTTCTCTGTTCTGTCTGTCTCTTGATCAACCAGCACTGGATAAGGCCTGCTAGGAGGCTTCCCATTTGTTCTTGGCACTTGCTGCTATTAGGCCCTGAACGGATTCTTGCAGTGTGACCAGGAATGCATCAGTTCCAAAATTCRTGATGTGCTTTGGGTTGCGGGCATCCCTGAGATCTGTCTGCAACACGTTTGGTTTGTTCTTCAAGAAAGGAGGAAGCCTTGTGCTTTGGAGACCAAGTTATAAGAACGAAAGCATAAAGTGCACTTAAGATGTGCTTGAGATTCTGGATGTGAAGCTGCCCTTTAGAATTCCTCTGAGAAGGTGTTTGACCGAATAATGCAGCTGACCAGCTGTGTAACGTCCTGCCTTTGGATGCCCCTTTCCATAGCGAGTGGCATTTTGGAATTCCCTGGCTCCATTAATACTTGGAAACTAGCGGGATGCAAAGAATATTCAGAGTCATCCCTGGGATTAATTATGTTGCCTTATCTTTCATTAGCTCTAAGTGTCTGTGAGGCACAAATGAAATATCCATGTGGTCAGAGGCTGGAGTTTTGGGAAGTCTTTTCAGTGCTCTTYACACGACACTTATCATTTTTTTTCAGGGAAGTCATTTGGACTCCCATCTTTCTGTCCTCTTCYTGGCAGTACCAAATGTACTGTGAGCACTCTAGAGGCCTTACCATAGCTCAGTTTGTGCCTAAGGTGGGAGGTGTTGCCTGCTTCCTGTTTCTGTGGAGGTTTCCAGAGGCTGAGGTGTTAGTTSTGTAGGTGAGCGGCACCGTATTTGTTTGAAGCCGTAGCCTGATAAGCATGCTAAGCTGGCAGTGCTGCTGRGAGAACAATCTTATCTCACCCCACACCACAGGCTGTTTTCACTTCCCTGGTCTCTACCCTCTTGGATCAGGGACGTTTATGTGGTCRCATATAGAACTAGCTTAGGGGGTTGATCCAGCTGAAAAGCAGTTTGGCTTTTCTGAAACTGAAATAACAGTTTTTGGAATCGTATCAGCTCCTGATTAATTACTGCTGCAGGAACAAGAGGGGCAGTGGGGAGGAAGTCACCACCTATGAGGAAGTGGAAGAGGCCAGGTTTGCTGGTGACTTTTGCCAGTGAAAGGTATTTATGGTACTGCAGCCTGAAAAAAATGTTCTCCCGTGGTTCCCTTTGCATCTACCTCACATCTGTTGCTCTCAGGGGAGCTGTCATAACAGAGCAGCTCTAATGGAGCTACTTCATCTGCATGCATGCCTGCAAGTTTGTTGCATGTCCTTACCTTGCAGTAATAATTATGAAAAAAGTTACTGGGGATATGAAATGAAAATAATTTTCAGCAAAACTCCCTGAGAAGTGAAGTGGGAGATATGTATATAGTGTATACAAAGAAAACTGATGTTTTTTGCTCTTCATTCTTTTTGTTCTTGTGTAGGACAATGAAGACTACCCACTTATCAGAACGGGACCCTATTGGAAGAAGTTCAAAGCCAACTTCTGTGAATTCATTGCAGTGCTTGTCCAGCAGTGCCAGTACAGCATCCTATATGACAGCTACTTGATGGATACCGTCATCTCGCTGCTTACAGGCCTAGCAGACTCTATGGTCAGAGCATTTAGGCACACAAGCACGTTGGCAGGTAGAACAACTCACGTAACTGCCATAGACCATTGGTTTTATTCACTTTTATGCTAACGAAATTCTCAGAACTGTAAAGTTTCCTTTTTCTGGAATGATTGTTCTCATAGGCATTGACCACACTTTGCTGCTAATGTATGCAATGTAATATAATTTGTCTCACATCTACCTTAATGGAATTTGGAAGATTTAGACATGGTAGATCTAGACCAATGGCTAATGTAAAGGAGGATGTTTGAAGTTCTAATGGAGCTCAGTACACCAGACTTCTGTAGAAAGTTCAAATGCAGTTGCCTATATTATTTTGATATTTAGTGATATCTTTAATGGCTTAGATAATTTTAGAGTTATGCTGTATTCTGATATGTTAGCAGTAACTGATTTTTTTTACAGTGAGTTTCCTCTTTCATTAATTCTCCTCCATAATGCAAAGAGGTTACATTAAGTACTTCACTAATGAAACCTTCTTTTGGAGAGCTGTTGTTAGTCTGGTACATGTGCCAAAAAGAACAGTGCTCGTAAAGTGTTTTTATTTGATGCACATGATGATATTAAAGTGACTTTTTTAAAGCCTGTAAGTTCCCTCACTGCCATGTGAACAGCACTGAAGTGCACTGTTTACTTTAAAAACTTAAAAAAAGCTCTTGGAGTCTATATGAATCAACATCTAGTAATTCTTCGGTCACTTGAATCATCAAAGTATCACTTTGGATTCTTGAATTTGGTCAGTTCAAGTGAAAGAAAGATGAGACAATTTCTCCCTGCTCTCCCTTCCTTTCTCCCTTCCTCCCTCTCTTCTTTTTTTTTTTGTTTTGGTTTTTTTTTGTTTTGTAACTGCAACTCACCTGTTCCACAGCTCTAGAATCTTCTGCAGAAAAATCTAAATTACATAAACTTAGAAGAGAGTTGCTCAGTGATTTACTTCTCTTGCTCTAAGCAAAAGTTGTAGATCAGTAGTAATATGAATAAATTTGCCCTTCAGATCACTCTCTGCCTTTAAAATAAACATTATATTTTGAAACAAATTGCTGTAATATAGTGTTGTTTGCATTTAGAATAATAAACTGGGTTTGGGTAACTATGTCCTTTTTGTARTAAAGTGGTGAATATTTATGCTTTGTATGTCCAAGCTAAACAGTAAAATTGGTTTTGTTTATTTTTCAGCAATGAAGCTTCTGACAGCAGTTGTAAGCGTACATCTGAACCTTGATGTCAACAAGCATAATGCTCAAAGACTGTATGAGGTGGAGAAGAACAGGATAAGTGGCAAGAAGACCAGCTGCAGGCTTGACCAGCTACAGAGAAGAAGAAAAGAGGTTAGGCAGGTTAGGGGATTCCAAAATCCGGTAGCTGAGTAGGGGCAAGGCAGCCCCAGCTCCGTGCCCCCAGGTTCCATCTGTAGCAAGACTGAGCACGTATTCCAGGAGGCACTCGCACAAATACTTACATACGTTTGCACTTGTTACAGGCAGCAATATGTCCATATGGCCAGTTGCACAGACCAACACAGGGAGAAGCAGTCAGCCCTCAAACACAACCAGCACCAGTGGCCTCATCCTGTTCCCCTCTTGGCTGGTTGGGATAGGCTGCTGGCCCCTGGATCCCCAGTCTCTCTGGCTGCTGGTGCTTGAGTATGAGAGCCCTAATGTCGCAGCCCCGCTCTGGCTGCTGGCTCCTCACACCGGCACACACACGAGCAGGCACAAATGGATTCTGTGGAGCCTCAGACAGATGTCCTAGGCCATCCAGCGTGTGCTCCTGGATCCTTGTGGATCCAGACAGACAGCTGTACACCTTCCAGCAGATCTCCAGATAGACCCCCAGACCAGGGGKGTGAGAAAGACCAGATGTTTTGGGCGACTGCCTGGGACTCCCTTGGTTCCTCCAGTAGCTTCCCRTGTGCCCACCCTTAGCAATACACTTACACACACACAGGCCTGTCTTCCAGGCCCGCTAAGTTACTGGTGGGCTAGTCTGGCTGGCTGCTGGTGACTAGTGAGCACRTGATGGCTTGCACCCTCACACCCTCTGCAGGCGCTGTCACTGCAGGCACAGGCTCCTGTGGCTTGTGACCTGATGTGGGTTGTTGGCACTTAGAACTAACTCCATATGCACAGATGCARAAGTAGTAGGTGCTCCCTTGCTCTGGAAAGTAGCTAGAAATGGATTTTAATAAGAAGATGGAACAGACTGGGCATTGATCTGGTGCAAGGCATGACCAGACAAGCATACTGAGCAGAGCCGTTTACACACAAGACCTTTTTATCCCTTTATCCCTTATGTTCCCATTTTTTTTCCTTAAATCTGTTTAAGTCGTGCTTTAGAGCAGTTCTGTCTGACCAGACTTACAAAAATGACTAAGGTGGTAACTGACCTCGTTATTAACTTGAGTAGTCTGTCCTACTAATTTTCTCTCTAGATTGGCATCATTAGCCCTTCATCTCTGCATGGATACAAATTTGCAAACATTTACTTGCAGTATTAGCTTGAAATTGTGTGACTCCAGTTCTGCCTATATTTATGCAAACTGTAAGCCAAAATGTTAAGTCTTCAATTGTATTTCTTTGAACGAAATCAATGAAGTAGAAGGCAGGATAGATTCATTGTCTATGTGTGAATGGTTAGAATCATCCCAAGCTCAGAAGCGGCCTGTATTTCTTCTCTGCTCAGCCAGGCAACTCTTTATAACCTCCCAGAGATTGGCCCTTAACCGTAAGAAATTTTTCTAGTTTGATGGCTGAGGTAATGATGTATGAACAGCAAGTGTAAGCCCTGCTCTGCTGACCTCTGAGGATCACTTAATAGCTGTGCTCTACTTGTGTATTGACAAACTCACTCCTTCCAACGTGCCAGATGTGTAGTTAGTATCTGATAACCTTTGATCAGGTCATAGCTATAAAAAAAACTATTCCKACTGTAGCTACAGGTCACTCATTTTGTGCTGGTATCATTTTTTTGGTGGGATTTGCATCCAATCGTCTTGTGCAACTTTCTCCTGTGAAGCAAATTTGTGGGAACAACATTAATATTAACTTCTCTTTGTATTTCAGTATGAGCAGAAACTCCTGGACATACAGAACATGATGAATGCTATTTTCAAAGGGACATTTTTAAACCGTTACCGGTAAGAATAAAAGAAAGCTGTGATATGTATCTGTTTTCCCAAGCAATTTTTGCTTAGAATGCCCAGAGACCAGAATGAAATCAAACATCTTGGAGTCAGTGACACAGTGAGGGTGAACATGTAGCAGTGATTATTCTTAGAGAATTTGGGCTTAGAAAGAGGCCTCTGTTTAAAACTTTTAAGTTTTTCCTGTTTAATATTATTAGAAAGTGGTCAGAAATTCAAAATAATTACAGTATGAAACATTTGTAACTAAAAGCAGAGGATTAAAGACTAACTTAATGTATTAATATGAAGATATTTTAAATATTAGGGATTGTATATACCTTTGCAGTTCCAGAAAATAAAAATATTGCAACTCATTAAACAGTTTTAAGGTACTAATACACAGTTTTATAATTTCAGTGATGTGATCCCTGAGATTCGGGCCACTTGCATTGAAGAAATTGGCAGCTGGATGAACACATACCCAGATGCCTTTTTAAACGATAGTTACTTAAAATATGTTGGATGGATGCTCTATGATAAGGTAAAGTTTGGATTTTTCTTGCCTCTTTATGGGGGCAGTTGAAGGAAAACTCTTCTTTTTAGGAATTTAAATTTTAGGATTCTTAAGAGTGAATGTTTAAAAGTATTCTGATAGTTGAAAAATCTCCTTTCCAGCCCATTTCAGGTTCTAATTTTAAAGCTATCCTATCATTAAATAACAGAAAACACTTTTATGAGCTCTGTAGCAATGTATTGAGTGTGTTTCCTTTGGCATGTATTTTTTTCATGCCTTTTCATGCCTTTCATTGCCTTCATGCCAGTTGAATACCACAGGGATTGAATTGGAAACTATTCTTACTAAATTGCAACAAGAACTATATCCTTTGAGTACATGCAGCGTTAAAAGGTGGCTGCAATACTGCATTAAGTCTTGTTGAATRTATTTTTTTACTTTATTTTTTAAAGATCACAGATAAATGTTACCAATAGCAAAGTACTCTGAAATATCATATTCCTCATTTAGAATTAAATGGATATAGTTTTTTTTTCAGAAAGTTTTTAAAAATCATGCTGTTATAGTTAAGGTTTTTCCTTAATTATTTCTCTCTTTGAAACAATTTTTAAATTTCAGTCATTTTCCAGAGAGTTTTCTCTTTTTATTTTAGTAATTTTGTTTTTATTTTCAAGTACAGATTCAGTCTTAGGAAAAGTTAACTCTGCAATATGATATTTCTCATGTTTTTAAAATGCATGATGTATGGTAGGGAGAGAGCACTATTTACCATCAATATCTAATCTCTGGAATTTGCATGCTCTACTTCTGCAGTCCAGCTTTTAAAACGTAGCTAGCTGCTGTATAAGTTCGTCCACATCCTCACTTTCTTTAGGTAACGTTTGTGTGCTGTGAATAGAGTGGCAGTTTATAACACATCCAGGAGAGGGAGCACAAAGCCTCTTAGTTCTYTCTTTTCTGGCATTCCTGTAAAGGTAGCATTTAGAGTTTATTTTGGAAGTGACAAATCCACCAGAACTGTTGTGTTTCTCTGCAAAAAGAGTATCTGTACAGAACATAAAAGCTTTTTAGTTTCAATTGGGAGATTTCTCAAACTACGAAAACAAAAAGTCATTTTTTTTCATTCCCAGTGCTGTATGGTGACAATTAACAGCTGGTGTCTCTGATTAATACATGCATCTCATCCAGTGTCATTTATTGGGAGTTGAAAAGGATGTTGTTTGTTTTTTAAAAGCTTATGCAGAAGCACTGCAAGTGCCAGTAGAGTGAAATAAGGTCAGAAACCTCCTATATTCCAGGTCTGGCGGAGCCCTGGTATGGGCCATTGCTGGTGGCTGCAGTGCTGACTGTGCCCTGTGACTTGTAGCCACCGCTAAGTTGCCAAAGAATCCCAGATGAGAGCAGGGCATTGCTGGCAGTGACGGGGCAGCAGGGCTTTTATGTACATCTGAATGCTATTTTCCACTCCTCCTCCCGAATAAGCATTTCCATTCCACGCGGATGGGGGTAGGCAGCGAGAAGCTGATCGCTCCCAGAGCCAATTTTCTTTCAGAATATAAAGTAGAGACGTTTGCCAAATAAGTCAGGCCCCAGAGTTGAACAACCATAAAAGTATTCTAACTGGGGGGAAAATCTGGGCAGGATCAGCTGCAGCATTGTAAACAGAGATTAAGTTCAGTCATTTGGGAAGCTTTGGAGAAGAGAAAAGAAAGTATGAAATTAACATTTTGTCTTCAAAGTTTTATTTGAATATAATTATTTGTTCTTGTCCCTGAGATACCATTTTTTCCATTTTGCTTTATCCCAATATGAAATATTTTATATTTTTATGAAGGGTTATTTCCTACATGCAAGAGGATATTCCAAAATCTGTGTTAATGTGCTTAAAGTTGTATATGAAAATCTCTCTTTGGCCTAGTAAGAGTTGTGAAGCAGTGATATAAATTTTTTTTTTTTGGGGGGGGGGCTGATATATTTTAAAGTGTTTTGTATGCTACAAATATGTATGTTTTTTAATGCCAAGCAGTGCTTAATACTAAGTCACAGAACTGCATGCAGTTAAGCAATGCTCCATATAAACCCAGTCACTTACAAGTGATTTCGTGAGAGCCAGGCACCTACCCAGTGCTCCGTTGGGCTACCTGGCTAGTGAGTAGTACTTGGCTTTGGTCAAGCCCGTGCTGATCCAGGCAGCAGATGTGGAAGGGGAGTGCTGGGGAGAAAACAACTGGAAGAACCGAAAAAGAGAGCCCATCAAGAGTAACATCACAAGTTACTAGGCTAGTGTTGTCTGGGACCTCGAGACGAGTTGTTGACTTTTCTCATTAGGTTAAATAAAAGAACAAATCCTGTGGGAAGCAGGAGCCTTTTGTCCCACCTGTATCTATAAGATCTRTAGTCTCGCTCTTATTTCACAGAGATGAGGGTGAGATTGAAATCTCATGACTCAAAAAGTGTCCCAAGTGTGAAGCCCACGTAAAGCTCTTTGTTGTCTCCAACTTGCAGATTTTCCATATTAGTCTTTTACAGTTCAGAGTCAAAATACACTGTAACCACATGCTCTAGGTGTCCTTGTTAGAGCATGAGTTTGAGCTAGATGATCTCTAGAGGTCCCTTCCAACCTCAGCTGTTCTGATTCTGTGATAACATAGCTGAGGGACTGAATGTATGTTCAGAGCATCTGATGATCTGCTTGCAAAATTTCCCTTCATCATCTGATAGGTTTGAAAGACCAAACAGATATTTTGTCAAGATTAGAGTAGTAGTTTTGGTGAGGGGAATAGAGAGTAGGATATTTGAATTTGCTTGCATTGTTGTCAAAATAAGTTGAAGACGAGTGAGGTGGTTTTAGAAGGACGTGAAGTATTTTTGAATAATGAAGAAACTACAAGCAGTGATGAAGCTAGGAAAGGATGAGGCATTTGAGAAAGAGGCACTTCAGCTGAGCTATAAGAAGGCACCAGAAATACTCATAGCAGAAGTAATTATTTTAAGACCCTGGAGATAACATTCTCTACACTTACAAGAACTATGCATGTACAGGGTTATGGCTGAGAGCTTCTGGGTAGAAAGGGAATATGTTGGAAGGCAGGTGGTGTTTAATGCCTTCAACTTTATATCTGCAGGCCTACGCTTGAATGCCACCTGGCTGACAAGTGCCAATGACAACCATCCTTAACTATCTTCTGGGGACCCTATGGCCAGCTAACTACCAAAAGCATCACACTTTTCTTGTTGTTGTTGTTTAGCATAAATGCAGGCCCCATTCACCGCTAATAAGGTTTTGAGGGCAGTTCACGTCAGGATTGGAGGTCACTGGTGTGCTAAGTTCATGTAAGTTTGAACAAGAAATTTGCCCTTGACATTCGTAGGGAGCAGACAGTGATGAGTAGTAACCTTAGACTTGTCCTGAGTGGAATTCCTTGTTGCAGAGCCCCTCTAAGAAGCTGCAGTTGGGGGCAGTAGTTTATTTCTTGCACAAGGCCCTAATTTTARAGAGGCAAGCACGACTTGGAATATGGGTCACAGATTAGAGAGCAGTGCTCATCATTGCCTGTTGATCTTCCTGTGTATCTAGCAACTGCTGCCTTATGCAAGATTGTTACTCTCGCCCTCCTGTTGGATGTCATCGTTTGCTTTCCCGCATAAGCAAATGAACAGGAACTTGTAATGGATAACCTGGGTGTAGGTGGTCTCCCATCTTGGGTTTCTTCCATGTTCCTTACTGCTATAGTTAGCAGGAAGAACCAAGCCAGAAATAGGAAGCGGCTGCATCAAAGCCTGCAGTTCACTCAGGTGTCTCTCCTGATATCCTGGGCTTTATAAGTTCTCAGAACAGAGTGATTCCTTTAATGTTAGATCCTCCGAATGACTGTCCCAGTGACATTAAAGCTTTTTTGAAGGTTTTAGCAGTACACCTCAGATATTTAGAAACTGGAAAAGGAAAAGCTCTTTTTTGAGATGCTTGTGATGTGTCAGTGCTAAATAGCATGACGTAACTTCTTGCAGAAATAAGCATATTTGGCCTAAATTAAATAATTACCTAGGCCAAATTCAAAACAACCCTTCCTATCTTAGGATACTTAAAATGCAGATTAATGTTCTAGTGAGAAGCAGAAATGGGAGGAAGAAAGCCTGCCATCTTAACTCTGCATCTAGAGGGATTCAGAAAGATCAGCTAAAGTATTCCTGAGATTCCTCTTTTCTTCTCTGAGAATTTTCTTCATTGGAATTTCTTGATGACCTTATCCATATTTCACTTCTGTCTGAGTCAGATCTTGAAAGGAAACAAGGAGAGCCTGGTGCACGGACGGAGTGTTGGTTGTACTCTTCGTAAATCTTTGTAGGTTGAATTGCACAATTCCTGCATTTAAAAATTCTGTTGTTTATTGGTTGTGAGATATGTGAGAGCTGCTTTGGCTCTCAAGGGAGCCCAACACAWACTTAGAGGCCTTGCAGTTTGGCTCCCTCCTGGCTTCCAGTGTGTGTGCACACAGATATAATGGCACTGGTAGTGCTGTTAAAGAAGGTGAGGCAATATTTGGCCTCCCTGTTGTAGACATACCCATAGAGCTCTTATTTGCTTAGTATAARTGCCAGTCTATAGTAAATAATATGAGATGGATATTTGTTACTGTTAGCAGATTCCTTTTTGTCTTTTAGCAAGCTGAAGTACGGTTGAAGTGTCTTCTCGGACTGCAGGGAATTTATAGCAGAAAAGAACTTGTTTCCAGGATGGATCTCTTTACTAGCAGATTCAAGGTAAATGAATTATATTTCTATGTTTTGAATCTAGGCTGAGTGTACATACAGGGTGTGATGCTTTAATCAGAGTTGATCTCCCCATTTTCTTGACTGACAAAGGTTTAGAGCATGGCAGCAAGAGCTTGCTTGCCTGTGTGGGGGTTTGCAGAGATGCTTCCCTCTGTTTATATGGACACTTCATTTTTACTTTGGCTTATGCACGGAGTGGTAATAGCATGATCTTTAGTCAGTCATCCTAACTATTTATCCAGACTGGCCAGAGTTTTTTTATGGGATCTTTGGCAGATGGGAAAGAATCTGATACTTCAAAGGTTTCTCTTTTACTGTCCCAATAATGGGTTCACCTGATATATGTTGGACTGAGGATACATGACTCCTTTTTGATTCACTGTGTCAGTAGGGATCTTGAAGAAGGATCCTTCATCTCCTGCCATGACAAGTCAAAAGATAGACTGCAATTTGGAGACCTTGTTCTGTGACCGCAGTGACCCTGTTTGCTACCTTTATCGTATTCCAGCATCCCGCTCATTTAAGAACTCAGCCTTTTTTTTAATCCTGCCCTTGATGATGATTTCATCAGCTGTTCTTATTCCAGAGGAGCTGAGCCTCTTCAGTGTTTGGATAAGAGAGCTCCAAATGTTGTGAGAGGAGGGGCTGAGATCTCGGTCCCTCTGAATCAGTGTGTAATCAATGCCTGCATGCGGTGGCCATTCATACACTTGTTGCCAAAGGGGCAGTGCTGGCCAATTTGTYAGAGCACTTGTCACTAGTTACAGAAATGCTATGACATTCTCAAAGAACAGGAAATAAAATAATATTGAAGTCTGGAGAATAAATTATTCAGATTGAAACTTGGCTATCTAAAACCAACCTCTATTTTAAGCATTTTATAGCAATCCTGTCCAAGAACAGTTGCTGTAATCTGTTGTGAGATGCAGGGCAATTGCAGGGTTGTTATTCAGAGGCTGAGGGAGTAACTTCTCTGTGTGGAAGATGCTATATAAATAGATTATTGGACCCTTCTTCCCTCCAAACCTGAAGGAACACAAACAGCTACACAGAAAAATAGACTGGTTTGGAATCTTCCAGAGTTAAAATCACACTTCCTGAATGGAAAATGGAAATGGAAATAGGTAACCACTAATCCATTTCCCACCAGCTTGATTTCACAGTCTTCTCCTGTTATCCTTGAGTTTGCCAAACTTGGGATTTGTGGTTTTCCACACTTTGGAGCTCAGTTGTGAAGAAAAGGAAGGTGCAAATAAAGATTTGGAAAATGACATGTTAAGTGAGAAGGTTGCTAGTCCCCAAACAAGTAAGCCTCCAGGTTTAATGAGCCTTAAAAAAAATGCAGGCTGTGCTGGGGACAGTGTGAACTCTTGGGTGCACAAGAGAAGAAAATTTTCATTGTGTTCTGAGTTACTTTATGTTTGTACTGAATTACAGTAGTGTGAGTTCTGGAGGTCAGGAATCCTGCTTGTTCCAGGAAGTACTTTATGACCCAAGCCCTAATTATTTTTCCAGCAAGACCCTGGCTTCTGTAATGTGTATGTATACATGCTTTATTGCTGATAGGAAAAAGTGGTTTTGTAATGCTTGTAATTTAAGCCTTACCTTCATTTAACATATTGAAGTGCCAGTAGTAACATCTTAGAAACAAGTTGTCAGTCACTTTTAATTTGTAGACTGTAGTTGATTTCCTGTGAACGCATACATTACATCTATAAAAATATCATATTACCGCATGATTAATTCAGTTAAAAAATTAACATGCCGTTAATTTTCAGGGGCTGGGGAACTACTTGATAGTAATCAAGTTGCCTTATGTCTCCTAGGAACTAGCTGTTGAAATAAAAATAAATCTCTGCTCTATTAGTGTAGATGTTCTAGCTGTAGGAAAAATATGTGTTTGTTGAGAACAATACGTTACATCTTTTTATTGTCATTTTACATCCATTAGGATCGAATTGTGTCCATGCCTCTGGACAAGGACCATGAAGTAGCAGTTCAAGCCATGAAACTCTTGATGCTTGTGTCACAGTAAATAATTTCTTTTTTAATTTACTGTATTGTTTAATGGCGACAAGATCCAGATACAATCCTGATGAATCTTCCTGTAATCAATCACATGCTGAGAAACAATTGGTCACAGCAGGATGCAAGTTACAGTTAGAGCTGCTCAAAACATGGCATTTTCTTTCTGTGGGAAACACCAACATTATGAAGCCTTTGTGCTCAGATTCGGTATGAAAAGTACATTGTTGTATCTTTTTACTTCCCTCGAGAGGAAATTCCAAAGCATTTTCATTCTGGCTTTTCTCACACAGAGCACCCCAACCTCTAGGGAAGTCTCCTACCATGGAATCTTCCATCCTGTTGTCCTGGGGCGGGAGGGGAAGGGCAGTGAACTCTGGCGTAATCCTGGCTTCCCCAGGTGGTGCAGGGAGCCTTCAGCTCTGAAGCTGTTGACAGGATTGGGACTTCCAGATCCTTGGCTCTTTTGCAGAGTCTGGGAGCTGCTACGCCCAAAACCAACTGTCAGGAAATGAGTGAATACGTGACATCTTGTTTCTGCTGAAGTGGAAGGTTTAAAACAGACAATTTGTTTTGCTGGGAAGTTGCCCATCAATGATAGGATCAGTAGGATAATGGCAAGCTAAAAGTGTGGGGAGAAGCTAGACTAACATTACAGAACTGTATCAATCCTTTCCGATCATTCAYGAGCATTATGTTTATTTTAGAAATGACTTTTTTTCGCCCCCAAAATAAGGGAGGAATAAATTCTCTGTCCCTCTCTTTATAATATAATGCAAAATAGATTTTAGGATTCCATAAGTGCCMTTTTATTTCACTGTTTTAATTTACTTCTGCTGATGCAGATGCCTCCATATACAGCGTGGTGTGTTGTTCATAACTGTCTGTGATTTGCTTTTCCACTGATGTATTGAGAAGTGTTCCAGAAGTAACACAAGTTTTTAATCCAGTATTCAAAAGTAATCTAAAACTACTGCCCACTTAATCAACCAAATAATGTAATATAAATATTGAGCTAGAACTCTGAAAACTATGGGAAATATTTCTAATAAAGTTTGTGAAATGACAGTTAAGATTTATCTGCCCTTGGAAATTCACTTCAAAATAATTTTTCAGGAGTTTATTTCAAGAGAAGCCTCCATGGGTTGGATGTGCTCTTTTCTTTAAAATAAAAGCATGTATACTTGAGTGGGAAGATGTAAGGTATGAACTGAGTTAATGTTGAGGATAAATAGTTTTAAGATGAGGTTGATTGTTTTGAAGGTGAATTAAATTCCAAGGTACATTAACTTCCATTGAATTAGGACTTAATTCTGAGAGTGCATATAGGAGTTTAATGTGGTTGAATGCATTCATAAAGATTTTCCTTGAGGTCCTTATAAAAACAAGCTGTGAATGTTCAGGCAGAAACTTATTCTGGAAAAAAACAGGGATAACTTTGGTTAATATTCAAATGTCGACGAGTTGTATCAGCCCTGCTTTTTTACCCACCTTTTGATGCCCTATTTCAGCAAGCTGTTCTTGCTTATTCCATAGAAGAACAAATACCCTTCCACCTGAGTGCTGAAAAACACGACCGACGCAGTGCTGCGTCTGTCTGCATTTGGAGACAGAAGGATAGAAGTGGTTTTATTGTTATTATTATTTATTCTTTTATTTCTTTGAGTCAGCCTAGTGATTAGGCAGAGCTGGACTCACCTGCAAACTAAGTCAATGCCAGTGTTCCTTCTCCCTCTTAAAACTGTTTCAAAGCTGCTGTGCCAGCCCACGCTTCAGGGTAGTGCCTGTTTATTCATGGGAACAGACAATGAATATGGCCCTGCTGCTCCTCTTGGTTGCTCTAAATGGCTGAGGTAAAAACAGTYCAACTCAATGTTTTTTTCATGTTGCTGTTTAAGTACCTTTGTATACCGAAGTGCTGCTTCCTAGCCTGGTGGAGGGACTGGCCTCTATTTTCTCCCCACTCCCTTGCCTTGAGGGACATTTCCCCAGGCCATTGCAGCGGGGATCAAGACAGCCCCTGAGGGCCGCGGGGGAATGGGCTTTTCTGAAGGAATTGCCCCGTTGGGGTCTTGCAGCACCACACAGCCACAGAGGCGGCCGCCGCGACGGGCGAGCGTTGGCCCCGCGGCTGCTCAGCGGCCCCGTCGCCGCGCGGGGCCACGCGCTCCCTCACGCGAGCTGCAGCCGCCAGGGTTCTTCTTTTCCTTGTTTTCCTTAGATGCGGTTTGGTTTCCAAAGTAAGTGCTTTCTAATGCTTTCCAACTAGCACTTGTCCAGCACAAAATGTAGTTTTCCTGAGAAAAATGAATACGTTTAAAAAATTGTTTTAATGAGGCTGTGCAGAGGCCTAGCAAACACTTGCTTTTCTTTGTTTTTCCTCATCTGCTGCACGGTCCCCTTTTCTTCCCCCTCCCCCTAGTTGCTTTGAGCCCTGATGATTTGGCTTAATTACTGCAACGATGAAAGTGGGAATTGGGGACTTAATGAACAAATTCAACTACAAGTCTTCTCTTTGATAAAACTAGTCCTGACCAGTCTATAAAACCTGTGTGAAGACAATGCAAACACTACAGACAGGCTCTTATACAGAGTTCTTGATAACAGTCTTCATCAAGGTGCTTTTCCAGCAAGGGGAGAGATTTGGCCCCCTCTCTAAATGTGTCACCAGGGCCACAACACCGCCATGCCAGAAGAAAAGAAAGTTCAGGGTTAGTGTGGCTAGACTAGGTGTATTTTATGGCATTTCTTTTTTTCTTCTTTCAGTCATACTGCACTGTTTTCTTCAGGTGGCTCACCTTTGTCTTGGCTCACTTTTGTTTTTAGCAGCTATGATCTAGTTGTCCCAAGTACGTTTTTACTGAAGCATGAAAGATCTTTCAGATCCAGCTTGTCATTTTTAGAGCTACTGGTAAGAATGTGCATCTCTTAAACTCCATATATTTGGTTTGGAATCCTGGAAAGAGCTATGAGCACTGAGCTCTAGCACGTGTCACTTATCTTGGAATAAATCTCATGTGCTGGCCAGAAGCAAGGGCAAGAGTAACATTTTTTTTTTAATTAGTCCCTTATGTGCTTTGTCACTCTTTTGGGGAAGATTCACCGTTATCAGCAGCTGTTTTGCTCCTTCCCATAATTGTCTGTTTGGTGAGTACAGTAACAAGAGCTCCTCCTGGAGAAACTCTTCCACTGCAGTGGAGCATCTGGTGCTCCATGTTCTGTAGTAACAGCTTTGACCCTCTCTAAACCATCACTGCTTTCCAAGGCTGTGGAATATGCACTGGTTATTCTGTATGCCAATGAAAAAGTAGCCTATTAAATTCACTTAATATGTTTCATTTATTACAAAGAAAATGCAGTGCTGATTCAAAACCCCTTTGCTGTGCATATACCTGCTCTGTTCAAATCCGTGTTTGTGTCCCCACCCTGCGAGCTGGGCTGTTTTTTTGTTTCTTGTGAGTTGTCTCAATTGAATGTGAAGGTCTTTGGCTGGTGGATTTCTATTTTTACCCAGCTCAATGGGATGCTGAAACTGAAATGAGCCTATGAGGTTTAGCATAATAGAAATTATTAATGCTACTGAATTATGCATAATTGTTAGCATTAATGTTGCAAAGCATCTGAGAGGGAATAGGAAGGAAATAAAGAGGGAGAAAGAATGAGAGAGAAATATGCACAGAAAGAGAGAAGTACAGAAACCAGGGAAACTTTCAGGAAATGCTGCTGTTTGAGGAGGCAAATGAGCTTAGTGAGGCTAGTACCAGACAACCCTGTTCATTTCTGTGTGCTTAACTGCCTGAAAGAGTTGAAGAAGTTTGGAGAAGAGCAGCAAAGTTAATTAGGTAACTGTAGTTGTGGATGAGGAGATATTAGAAGTTGTACATGTAGGGGCACAAATCTGCGAGTGACTTGAATATATAACATCAAGGAAGGAAATATCAGTCTGTAACACATCACTTAAAAGTAACTAGAAATTAAACTGAGCTTTAAGCAGAAAACTCCCAAATTTGAAATCTAGAAGAGCTGCCTCTCACCAAAAACTTGAATCTATTGTACTCATTGAGGACTTCATGTTTAAGCTATGTAGTGGAGCTGATAAATACATGAACTGTCACTGCAGTGCTTTGGCAGTGGTAAGTAGAGTCATTCCAACTCTTAAGCTCAGGAATATGAGGCTTGTAAGTGCCCAGTGTCCTGCTCAGCGCAAGAGCCACAAGTCACGTAAAGGTTCTTCCCTCTTGCCCTTGAAAAACATCACTGGCCCTTCTGAGTCTCACCTGGACCAGGAAAGAGCTCTTGATTTGAAGTACGAAGGGCTACACTGATCCTTGAAACCCAGATTTGGCAAAATACACTGAGGCTAATAACATAGTGCATGTTAATACACTTTGTAGATGTCCAGTAACAAATAATTCAGCAGGGGGTTGAATTGGGTGAATCTCTATGGCAATTCACAGATTCACAGAATATTTAAGGTTGGAAGGGACCTCTAGAGATCA